CGTTTTACCATTCAGTGACGCCTCCGTGACGCTCCAGCTGCTCGGCGGAGTGTCGTGCAGGTGTTGTATGCACTGTGCACCTGCATGGAAGCGCCGAAGACTGCTTTCCGGGTCCACTGGTGGAACCTCTTCTAACCAGTTCGGTAGATTTGACGAACCGGTTCTACCGAATAGGTGTGAACTGGTAGGAACCCACCTCTGCTTCTGTTGTAGCTATTCAACTTGCTTCAATAATGACTCCTTAAATCAGATCTCTGCTCACACAAATGCCCAGAATGCTTCAACCTCCAATCTTTATTTACTACTCTATATATCAGAGTTTGAAATGGTTCAGATCGGAAAATAAAAATGGGTACGTGAGAACATGCCAGGGCACTAGCAAAGTCTCCAATCCTTCAAATCAAACTCAAGCTATGAGTTATATGTAAATTTTGAGGGAGGTTGCTAAGATCAAGGGGCCACAGTGGCTGAAGGGCAGGAACTGTAGGGTTTGCATCATTCCAATTCCAAGAAAGGAGAAGCACAGCCAACAGGAAGTATAGACCATTGTTCTCTTGGAATTTTATTCATGATATGAAATGAACACACCGGCAGGATCAATCAATGCTGAAAGTCCAAGAAATCATCCATAATAGGGATTGGCCTAGTGCATAATCATATGCAAACTTGACTTAGTAACATGTGGACGTATTTGGCTACTGAGACCAGCTGTTATCATTAGGAAATGAGAGAATTGTCTGTGAGAATAGATGAAGGACCACAGTGGCACATCATTCACTGTTCCTTCTCAGCTTCCAGCTGCTTTCTGGTCTTGGAACTTACACTTGGTGGTCCAAAGACCTGTCCTACATCTTATAAACTAGCCTGTTACTTCCAGGTATAGTAAACCATTGCATCTCCTGGACAATTCTACATTCAGCTACATGTAACATTCAGCGATCACTCCGTTGTCTTCTGTAGGCAAAAGAGGAAAACACATATAACATTCCTTGCCTCAGGGAGAAATACATTTGTTTATTTATAGTAAATTATCTTGGGCTGGTCCAGTTTCTGAGAGGATAAATCCAATTTTTTAAAAAAGAAACCAAGAAATACAGCATAAGGGTAACTGTTACTGAACTTCCTAATAATCAACCTGAAGCACAAGTGCCATTTCTTTAAGAACCATAACTCAGTACTAGAGCTAAGGTCCCTATACAGACTGACCTTATACTGAAGAATCCACGTTCAGTTGAACTGAAATATGGAGTAGTAACAAATCATACAAAAATTATAGTGTTTTGTATCATGGGCTATATCTAGCAACTTTATATGATCAGTTAGGCATGAAATGGATATGAGGACCCATTCAGTTATATTACTCAATCTCAGCTCCAATTTTTGCAAGCATAGGCATGTCTGTAGTGATGGAAACTGATGTACAAAAATATTTTGAGAACCCCAGTTTGTCTGCTTCTGATATACGCCTAGTATTGTTGAAAGTATTCTACATGTAATAATCTTGTTACTGCCAGAAAACAACTACATTTTCCTATTTTTATTCTTTCAAGGTGTGGTTGCAGGATTCTCTCTAAGTGTTTCTCAACCTTAGTCATCGTAAGACATGTGGACTTTAACTGCCTGAATTCCCTAGTCAGCATGCTGGTTAAGGGAATTCAGAGAGTTGAAGGCTACAGTTGAGAAGCATTTCTCTATGGTAAAACAATGAGCCAGAGCTGCCAATGGAGGTTTGCATTCAATCTGAACATTATTGTTTTAAATTTGCATTTGAGGCATTGTATTTGGTTTACTTGATCAACTAGTACTTACCTTGGTGAACAACGTTAACACTGGTAGTTTAGCACTGGCTTCACACAACATCCTTTGAAGTGGTTTTGAATAATTTGTGAAATGCAAGGTCCAACTTTGAAGCCACAGCATCTTTGCCCTGTTGAAATAAAATATGTACAAAATGTTTTATCGTTGGCATTTACCACTAACAAGATTGGCTAAAATGTACCCAAACATGAAGCCGACCTGCTAGAAGTGTAAAAAAGTACAAGGGACTCTTTATCACATATGGTGGACCTGCCCGGAAACACAAAAATATTGGACAAAAATTTGGAAATGGGTGCAAGAAATTACAGGAGAACAGATAAAATACAAACCCGAAATCTTTCTGCTGGGAATAATCAAAGAGAAATATACAAAGAAAATTAAGTACATATTAACACATCTGCTACAGCTAGAATAGCATTTGCCCAATGCTGGAAAAAAATAATACCCCCCTCGGATGAATTAGTGATAAAAAAACGTTTGGATTGTGCAGAGATGGACAAATTAACACTGAAATTAAAAGATAAAGAAGAGTCAGAATATTATGAAATTTGGAACAATTGGTACAAATGGCTGCAAAACAAGATTCAAATTAATTAAGCCAAAAAACAATATATATAAATATATATAGAACTGTGTATAAAGGTGCGTAAATATAGAAGTGAAATATTATATACATGTACAGGTATGATGACATAACAATGTTGATATAATGACTGTAAGGTGTCGTAGAAGGGAAAAATAATTTTTAAAAATCTGCTAACCAACAGGAAAAAATATTTCTCTAATTGCACACGATTCATTTTAATTACCAATCATAAGTTATGAATCAGTAGACAGTCCCATGCAAGAGTGATGCTCAAGGAACTGTGTAAAATAAAAATGCAAATGTATATTATTTTCACAACATTTGGGGGGGGATGTTTATTATTGAACAAGCAGAATTTAAATTTATGATTACATTTTTCTTGCTGTAGGGCTTGTTTTAAATTCACCAACAAACCACAGTGATATAAACATATTGCATTGTTTCAAGCAAAAAGAAAATAAGACAGCCATTATTAGCAGAATACAAAGAGCTCTACTTTGAGCCTCTCTTAATCTAACCATATACATTTTTGGTAGTTCTTCAAAATGACTCCAATGGACAGCTGCTTTTATATTTCACTGAAATACAAATCATGTACAGCTAATTCTTGACTTACAACCACAACTGAGCCCAAACTTTCTGCTTATAAGTGAGACTTGTTGTCAGTTTTGCCCTATTTTATGACCTTTCTTATCATGGCTGTTAAGTAAATCACTGCAATTGTTAGTAACATGGTTGTTAAATGAATCTGGCTTCCCCATTGAATGTGCTTATCAGCATGTCTCAAACGGTGATCACATGATCCTGGGACACTACAACCATCAGAGTCAGTTGCCAAGTGTCTGAATTTTGATCATGTGACTATAGGACTTCTGCAACAGTCATAAGTATGAAACATAGGCATAAGTCATTTTTTTCACTAAATGAACTGTTGTACATCAAGAACTACCTATATGGCAAGTATACCCCCCCAAAAAACCCCACAGACCAGATGAAATTACTCTGAATGTTACTTAAAAACTTGAAGATAATATAGTGGGTGAGGAAGCAGCAGTTACTTAATATATGAAAATATTTATTGTTGGCTTGTTTAAATGTCTCTTTTTTTAAAACCATGTATCTGAAATGAAACTACACTTGATAAAAATTATAATTATAGTTCAAAAGAATAATATTCATTCGCAGTGCAATTCCGTAGATATCTACCTTGAAATAAGTTCCAGTAAATAAGACTTTCCTCTAAGGAAATGTATGTAAGATTTCAATCTTACAGGGCAATCTTATTTGTTCCTTTGTTTATGTGCTACTTCCCACATTTAGAAGAAATATCTCGAAACAATCTATTTTATGCCTCTCTGTCTGGATGTAAGTCACAGTTTGTCTATTGGGACATAAATCTTAACAGATATATTTAAGATTGCAACATTTTGCAGCCATTCATTTTAGTGGGCCTAGTCTCTTACTTCAACTGAGATTTCTATCCTCCCTCTCTTTTATTTTGAAACTCACATTTAAAGCACGTCTAACTGCGTGATGGATTATGGCCTATGTCTACCTATCTACAGTTTGATTACACTATTGATAATCACCACCGTACAATACAATCTGTAACATGGATAAATCTAGTTACACCTCTGGTTTGTATTGACACTGAAATCACAAATGCAATGGATAGGATTGGTGAACAGATTATTAGAACTGTGGATCATTTTAAATTATAGTCCAATTACTCACTGATCTTTCTCTTCTATCTTGTATGATATATTGTGATGTCTTTCTTTCTCACACACATCATTTTCAAGGATTTTTATGGAGAGGTCAGTTTTCTTAGAGGAAATGACAAATGATTTATGCTATTTCTTTATATAACATTTACATATACATTCAGGTGACTATAAAATAAGGATTTGCATAATAAGAAAGAGTAAAAAAGATTAATTCTTCTTGAAATGGATGAGAATACCAGAATATATCAGCAACTAAATCTTTATTTAATAGTATTATTAAATTTAAATTAAGTAGTAGTATTAAATTTTAAAAAATCTTGATGAATGTATTTTATTTTCTTTATGTACACTGAGAGCATATGCACCAGACAAATTCCTTGTGTGTCCTGCCACACTTGGCCAATAAAGAATTCTATTCTATTCTATTCTATTCTATTCTATTCCCACTACATAAGAACACTTGGAGTCAAGAATTACAGGGGTCCCATAATATATCTTGATCAACCTCCATATCAATATTCTTTAGTTACAAAGATAAATACTCTCTGCCCATTTGCTGTTCTACAACACTTTGATATCTTTCTAATTGCACAAAAATAAATATTTAGCCACATTTAATAATGAGCTAAACATATTAACAGTCTTCCCTTAAAAAAACACTTTTATTGGAAGATACATTTCTCATAAATGTTTGGTCCTCAAGGGTGAAGCAGGCCAAATACAAGTGACATTCAAGAAATTCTAATAGATTGGATACATGACATTACTGAAATAATATTAAGAACTAATTAATTTTAGTTTATTTAAGATGTTGGATAGAAGTAAAATTATAACAAGACATCATTGTAGGAGTAAAAATTAAACTGTAGTGCAGTTGTTTATAGTGTTAGTAGACTAAATGTGACACTTAAACCATCTGCCATTTAGTGAGACAATTTTTTTAAAGTTGAAATCTTTGACTGCTTTGGCAGTGGCTTTAGATGCACAAAAACCAACTTTAGGCAGTTCCCCCAAATCCCAATGTACAACTAAGCTACGTAGAAATTCATATCAAACACAATGGTTACAAGAATATGATGAGTTTGAAAAAAGGGCCTATGAAGCAAGAAAAGAAACTTCTAGGAAGAAGGATGAAAGAGAAAACCCAGAGACAAAAAGATAAAAGTGAAAGAACAAAAAATAAAGGTGGCAGTTAAACAGAAACTAGACAGTAATAACAAAGAAATGACTTTGCCACCATCAAGGATTTTCACCTTGGGTTTGGCTTGTAACCAAAGGATATACTACTTGGAAACACATTATCTCTCTCCCCCCACTGAGAGTGTCTTAATCTTGGAATTCTTTCTTCAGAGATATATGTGGGAGTGATATAAACTTCACAGTCAGGCAAAAGTAATTTTATTTAGCTGGGCAGGTTGAATATAATGGACGTTTATTATTATGGGTCTTAGTCTTTATTCGGTACTCAGTAGAATTTTTTACTATTATTATTATTACGCACCACACTGTAACCTAAAAAGGATATAAGTGGGGGGATATAGGAACATTTAAACAGGCAAATAAAGCAAAGTAAAAGGCAGGCCGTAAGTTCCTATGCAAATAGAGCTTTTATAAAAACACTGGAAGGTTGAAAGCAAAACTAGAACAACAGTGATAGATTATAAGTAATTATAAATGAAAAGCAACAATAGTTCTTTATGTAGATTGTTCGACTCAGCCTTGAACTGCCTCTTATCACATAATCTTCAGGGTCTGTTTTACACAAATGTTAGATACAATTATCTTCGACTTAAGTGTGATGAACCACAGCACAGCATTGTCTCCAAGCTGCTCTAAGATGATTTGCAGCAATTTCATACAGTTCATCATTTCGTTGAAAAGTGGGGTGGGTGGCAGGAAAAACAGAGGTTGTACTAGCACTGGTGTATTTATTGATTCATAGGCTGCCTTTCAATTCACATTTAATACTGATGGTAAATAATAGAAACCAGTTTTGACTGCTCATCTAAAGGGAGAGATCAACTGCCTCACCCTAGAATCAACTGGGCACCCCCTAGTAGTGTGGACATCAATTCCTAGAATTCCTCTACCATTATGCAATCTGGATAAGAATTCTGGGAGTTGAAATTTCAGACATCTGAATGTTTCCCAGGTTGGGAAAAATGTTTTCCTGGCTGTCATCTGGATCTTGGGAACATAATTGTATTCTATATAAGCCTAGAGAGGAATTATAATTCTAAGAAAAACATGCAGTTATTAAAAAAAAACCTGCAGGGTATTAATTGCAAAAGAAATCAACTGTGAGGAAAGACTCTTAATACTTTAGAGTACCAAGTAAGAATTATTTTACCAGTTTAATGTAATTATCATTTAACCTTTTTTTATAAGGTACTTCCAATCGTAATTCTGAATATATATGGATAAAGTGTGTTATAAATCTCAATTACCATAAAACAACACCGGCAGGGGCTGCTGGCATCTTTTTCTCATTTATCATTTTGGAAAACAACCATAACATTCATCATACAAACAGAATAAAGAATGGTGGAAAAAAACTTTTGGCCAGTGCTATATTCCAGGAAGAAGAGCAAAGCAATAAATCCCCTTTTATTTTATTAAATGAGAACAGCCAAGTACAATTTAGATGAATTAATTGTCTGTAACGTTAAGAGATAAATATGTCTAATTTCTCAGTTGCCCATTTTTAATTAGGATTTTTTTTAAAGAAAAAAAACATTTCCAGAGCTACAAAACAATTGCTGTAGCAATTGCTCTAAACACAAATGATAAAAATAA